ACAATTCAATTAACGACCGAAAAAGCTTCGATACGAGCCCCAATATCTCCGAAGTTCTACTTCATTTTGACGTCATATTTATACCAAAATAATCATCAACATTTGCTTAAACTATACTATGATATTTACTTTTTAAATTTTAATTATTTTTTAATTAATTAAGTAAAACAACGATATTTCGCAGTTTTATTAATTAAATAAAACTGCGCACGCACGCACACGCACACGCACGCACACACACACAAACGCACACACACGCATGCATACACACTTTGTTTTTTTTTTCTTGATCTATGTTTAGAGTCTGCATTGTGCACGGAATGTAAAATAACTGAATGGGAGGGAAACTGCCTCCTAACATACAGGGTAACCTAGTTTAGGCGTCAGGGTATCTATGAATTGTGTATTAATTCTGTGTTCAATAAAGAATTATTATGGGGTATCTATATAATTTTCTCATCTGGTTGGGATCTATAAATATATTATTTTAAGTTAAAATAAAAAGATAAATGTACATAAATATCAATAAAATAAAATAAATACAAAAAATACATAAATAAATAAGATCCAACCAGATGGAAGCCCTCGGCAGGCGGGACCAAACGGCCGAGGGTTAGGAGGAAAGGGAAAGAAACCGTCGGACGATGCTGGCGGTATCGAGGAGCACCGCCTTCTGCATTTGAGCCCGGAGCGGTCCGTCACGGAGTCCCAGTCGCCTCAGATGATCCGAGAGGCTGACTGGCATTAGCCCATTCGCAGAGACGCCTACAGGAATAATTTCGGCCGGCAGACCACCGCACATGTCGGTCACCTCGTGAGCCAGGTCCAGATATTTTGTTCGTTTATCTGTTTTGGCTTTCACGAGGTTCTCGTCATACGGAATTGTAATGTCGACCAAAAATATCCTTGACTGTGCCCGGTCCATCAGCACAATATCAAGCTTATTCGCAAGAATAGTCCTGTCCCTGATGATGGCCCGGTCCCAGTAGAGCCTGGCGCGGTCATTTTCGAGCACGGTTTCCGGCAAGTACTTGTAATACGACAATTTCCGGTCCACGAGACCGTATTTCAGAACGAGCTCCTGGTGTAGAATTCTGGCTACTAGGTTGTGCCTGTGCAAGTACTCAGAGTTAGAAAGCGCCGAACAACCGGAGATGACATTCCTAATTGACTCACCGGGATGGCGACAAGCTCGACAGATGCGGACGGTGCCATCCTTTAAGATGTATCTCCAATAGTTGTTGGTCTTAATAACCTGATCCTGTATTGCACAGACAAAACCCTCGGTTTCCCCAAAAAGGTCACCGAAACGTAGCCAGTTGAGGGAGGCGACTGTATCTACGAAGGGCTCATGTAGAACCCTGTAGTACCTCCCGTGGAGCTCCTTCTCCTTCCATACGGTCTCCCGGTCGGAAATGCTTTGCACTGCCGCGTCCTGCCATTACTCGTTGGCTAAGGATAGAGGGGTAAGTCCTTTATCACTAGAAATGACGTCATTATATAATGGATCATCCGATCTCGCCAGGAAGTAATTACGGAGGCTGCACACTTCGCGATTATGCATGGTGAGCCACGCCCACTATGCTTTCGCAGCAAGTACAGCCTCATTAGCGATGATCATCCTATGGGACGTCATGGTAGTGGGGACTTTTCTCCAGGGCGTTAAGTATGGTCTGAGTCTACCTGAGTACGCCAAAGGTATACTTGAGGACAGGCATGACTTAGCCGTTATATGCGTGTTCCTTATTCACACCCGACAAAAGGCTGTTAAGCACTTTGGCCAAGCGTGCATAAAACGTGTCGCAAACTGACTGTTTCATACCAGCCTCATCGATACCGATATTCTGTGATATACCCAGGTATCGGTATGTTTCAGCTTCGGAAAGGGTCCTTAAGTTGACGGGCATAGATAAGTCTATGCCCTCAGAGTTAGCAACCCTTCCCCTCTCAACATGGAGGACCGCACACTTATCCGTCCCCAGCTCCATTCTAATAGAATTGCTAAATTCACAAGTGATGTTTAGCAATTCCATAAGATGTGAGCGACTGGAGACGAATAATTTGAGGTCATCCATATATAGAAAAGGTGGGTCACTTTTGTACCTCCTTTCCGAAGCTGAAATCCCCCTCCCGGACCCCTCCAGTAAAGTACTGAGAGGGTTCAAGGAGAGGCAGAACCAGATTGGACTCAGACAGTGGCCCTGGAATATACCCCTTCTTATCCTTTGCGGCTTTCCGCAGCCGTCATCCGCTCGCCTAGATGACAGAGGATCGTACTCCACTGCTCCATACAATGCTCGAAGAAGTCTCGAACTGTACAGTCAATCTTGTACAGCTCGAGGACCCTCTTTAGCCACGTATGGGGCACCGAGTCAAACGCCTTTCTTTGCGTGCGTGTAAATGGCCCTAGCCTTTGCGATACGTTCTTCAATTCTTATTCTCCAGGCTGGGATAACACTACTTTGTCTATTAGCGCGTCCAGCCGTGGAAAGTTTGGCGCCTATAATACGGCAGACTGCAAGTGCGGCGCCAAAAAAATTGAGTCCGTCTCGCAAAGGTCCCGGCTGGCTTCCAAATAGGTCACCAGCATTGGGTTCAGAGCCCTCACGACAGCCCGATTCCGCTTGCTTAGGGCTATGCGGGGAAGTTGCGGTCGATTTTCGAGAGGCGTACTGCGCGTTTCCACAATCGCCTCTTCCAGTGTACTCCTCATTTGCTGTAGTTCCAGTTCCTGGGCGATTGTTCCATCATCGTTTGAATCAACCACAACTGGGGTATTCATGGCGGCATCCACGTTTGCCGTTTGCTCTGCAAGTTGTGGCGCCGCATCCTCAGCCGTAGCATTTTCACCCGATGAAGGAACAGCCTCACGTCGTAGCCGTTCGAGTTCGGCGACATCAAATATATTTGAGCGCAAGATATACCGAACTCGGTCTGCCAGGTTTTGCTCTGTGACGGTTATAAATGGCTCCAGCTCAGCAAAAAGACGATGCATCCTAGCCCGATATGCCAAACCTCCAACTTCTCCCCCTTTCGCCCTAAAATACGCCCGAAGTGCGTTGGTATTCATTTTGATTGTTCATCGCATGCGGTGTACTCCAGCAGTAGCGGGGCCGATTGCTGGGCCCGCGAAGACCCTGCCCCAAGCCAGCTGGTGGGGATGATGGATGCGATGGGCTGATGGGTGATCGTGCAGCACCTCTCGCTCGGCTGGCGGTTCGCATGCTGTCGCGTCCAGCGCCAGCTCCAGACGCGCCCTGGCGACCTCCAGGCAGCGGCCCTTTGCGCGTTCTTCCGTATTCCATCATCCATATAAGTGGGCGCCATTTAACGGTAGACGACCAGACCCAGCCCCGTTTCATGGTGGGGCCATGTGCACAAGCGGGCCTTTGCACCTTCAATTTTTGCCGAGGCACGGCACTTACACCTCTTGGCAAGGTGCTGACTGACTGCGCTGATGTAGCGGTTTTGTCACATAACTGTTACGTCAGCGGGCGATTGGGTCGTCACTTCCCTACGCCTTCTTAAAGACTAGGCTGGATAAATATATAAAAGGAAAAAATAAATATACTTAAATATATATTTAATATACTAACATAAATAAATAAATAATACATAAATAAATAAAAGCCCAACCAATAAATAAAAGTCCAACCAATAAATAAAAGCCCATCCATTATTATATTATATATTTCACTGCGCCGGCCATCTGAAATCATTAACGCGCGAGCGGTAGTCTGGGTTGAACCTGTGTCACTTCATTCCGCGCGCTCCGTCTCGTTTCAATATTACTGTAGTGTGCGTGGATTGTCGTTATAGGCGCTACTCTTTTGGCCTGAGTTCCAAAATAGAACTCAGCTACGATCACAATTTTTGATCGTTGGAAGTATTTACTTTCGTATAGTATATTTCAATTAGTATAAAGTTCGCACATTATTATTATACCAGATTGTTAACTCATTACAGTTATATTGATTATGTAGCTGAGCTTTTTTACCAGTCCGAATGGGGAAAAATAAACACAGGTATCATTGTGTCACTAAACGTAAAAAAAGGAATATCCTATCTCTGGAGCAAAATAATGGAGAATAAAAATGTTTGCATGCTTGTCATATGGACTAGCCTAGACTATGCAGCAAAGGTACTAAAAATCTCATAGAGAACTATAATACATACATAATAGAACGGGGAAGTGGGCGGAGCCCGTGTAGCTAACTAGTAGTGTAGTAACTAAGATGTCACTAACATGCCAATCCAAACCTATAAATGTCAATACAATCAATCGTTTCCATTATTCGTGTCAAGCGTCGCTGTATGCAAATTATTAAAAAAATGGCAAACTGTGCAATAATTACGTGCCGAAAAAACATTGTTAAATCGAATTTAAATAAAGGAGACATATCCTACAACCAGTAACTCGAAACAAAAATAAAGAAATATTTATGTACCATAAACATTAATCAAAAGTCTAAAATGTGTAAATTTGCTCAGTCTCTCAACATAGCGAATCGGGTTTGTAGTTGTGATAATAAGACGTAATTGCTTGTATGTGTGCTCCCGGCGACATCGATTCTCCTACAAAATAAGGTTGATAGCCATTCTAGTATTTTATGAAAAATCTACAAAGTCGCCAAATTTTGAATTTTGAATATGTTACTCAAGTTACAAGCGTTTTATAAAAAGTGTGTACTGCCTCAAATTATTGACTTGAGATAAGCTTAGTCAATGCCGGTGCGGTAAATCTTAATATATATAAATTACGTGTCACGTTGTTTGTCCGCGATGGACTCCTAAACTACTTAACCGATTTTAATCAAATTTGCACACCGTGTGCAGTTTGTTTCAACTTGAGAGATAGGATAGTTTTTTTTTGTACCATGAGTGACACACAATTTTTTTTTACGAATTTAAGGATTTCTAATAGGACATGACAAATGGTCATCGAAAAGGGCAGAACAGCGTCTGCCTGGCAAGCTAGTAATTTTATAAAATAAAAATTTTCCATCCACTGAACTCCATCCTAAGAAAACTTGTATAATGGAAGATCAAGATCGTTTAGTCGCTATTTTCACAGTATCATAATGCGAGCGAGTGAATAGATATTATGAAATAAAGTACCACTCGCGTAGGTCGCCGCCACCTCGGAGCGTAAAATACCTAAATTTGCGTAATGTTGCCTCTACACGTTGGCCAATACAGTGGCGAATGTAGTGGCGAATATATTGGCCGAGAGTTGGTGACGGCGTCCACACGTTGGAACGTCGTTCAGTTTACTTCGGTTCGGGCCAATGTGCGGACGAATTTATTTTATTTTAGACGACGGCTCCATGGCGCAGTAGCTTGGCAATGAGTGACTGTGCCAGGAGTCGCGGGTTTGAATCCCGCACGGAACAAGTATTTGTATATCCTACAAATAACTGTTTCGGGTCTGGATGTGTGTCTTTATGCAATTTATGTTTGTAAGTTGCCTCCGCGATACAGGAGAAAACCCAAGTGTGGGGGGTAACGTTTTTATAAAATAATTATAAAAGAATAGTGAATATTAATGGGCTGTAAATAGATATACGATTAGCTTTATTTATTCTTTACATGCATCAGAAACTGGAATAAATACCATTAATTAGAACTAAACTTATTTTAAAGTTAAAGGAGTTATAATCGATAAGTCTATGTTTTAAAATTGGGTTTTGTTTTTAAAGTTTAGCAAAACATGTACTTGCTTTTCTATCAGACATTTGATGTATATAAAAAACACCTTATAATTTATTGGTAATTTAATTATTTTTTTGAGAAAGACAAAAACAATAGCAATACATATAATTAACACTGACTTAATAATAGGTACTAATTATAACTTAGAACATAAATGAAAAACTCATGACAAGAAAAGTGGCTCAGAACCATGCTTTGCGGCTTTCTTTGGAAGAGGATGTTCAGTAGTGGACTTGTGAAGAGCTGTAATGATGATGATGATGATTCGAAAACTTGCACGATTAAATTATAAGAAATCGACGCTTTTTTATATAGGATAGGGTGACAAACGAGCACACAGTTCACCTGATGGTAAGTGGTTGCTGTGGCCTACAGACATCTACATATATCCTCGATTACGAATCAAAACGCAGATGCGTTGTCACCCGTGAGGACTAAGATGAAATGCCTCGTTTCATTTAAAAAGTGTCTCTGGTTCTCTACACTCACTATACGAAACACACAATCATTAAGCTACTATTTTACATTGATATTCTGTGAGAGCGTGGTCCTTCCCCGGTCGAACCGACCCATTCGTGCTACAACTATACTTCTAATATAACTGCATGGTTCTACCACGTATAAACGACGTGCTTCATTTTTTTTTTCATTTTAAAATTGTTCTCGTAATAATCTGATTGTAATGAAATGTTCATTATTTTTTTTATAAATAGCTTATCGAATCCTTTGATCTTTTGTAAAAAACCGACACCACATGGATCTCGCGCCAACTTGCGGGCTATCGTTCCAATACATACCAATGAAGCCCAAACACCCCGTCTACACGTTGGCCAATGCTATTGGCCACTACATTCGCCACTGTGTTGGCCAACGTGTAGAGGCGTCGTAACGCTTAAATGTAAGAGCTCTTAAAAGGAAATGTACAATAATGGAGTTTTGTGTATAATTAGTTAATTTGAAGGTTTTGTAAAATACATTAGTTTTTACCACTAACCAGTTTGATTGCTCATAAAATAAATGAAAACAAGAAAATACTAGGTTGATGAATTTACCAAATAACTAACTCACATAATCTTGTACTTAAAAGGGACACAAGCTTATTTTAATGATTTCTTTTATGCAATTACACACATTGAATAACACACACACACACTCATGGTCTCCCTGTCACCATATCTATCGTACTACCTTTTCTAGGTAGTAATCTCATTTATTTGAAATGGGAATCGTTTAAAAAAAGTAAACTACATAATAAATACTGCATAGAAATTTATTTAGAAACTACCGAAATAGTTTTACGAATGCAATTTTCATGCTTACTCTTTACTAATATGTCTTCTCTAATTCTGTCTTTTATAATTGTTGCATACATCGCAAAATGTGTTAACTACGAACAAACTAACGGAATTAAAGAGGGATATAGCTCGCATAACCACTTTTATAGTGTTTTATTGCGACCTCGTGAATAAACTCCTCCACATGAACTATAACTATGAACTATGAACACTCAAAATTTGCTGGTGACTCGAGCTGAATGGTTATCCGGATTACATATAAATCTTATCTCATGAAATTAAAAAGTAACAGTATATTCAGATAGATATTTTTGATTAGTAAAATCTTTCCTATTTTATCATCATACCAAAGAAAGATAGATCACTAAGTATATGTTTTGTATAACTGCAACTGGGGAAAGCAGGTGCATTTTCTTTAGTAGCCCGTTAAAGCCCACTGAACGAACAAATATGCACCTCGATTCGATTTTAAAACGGCCGCAGTCCGTTCTAGGTGGCAATAAGTATGTAATAAATTCATCTTATTGCTGTATAAGGGTGACGAACAAGCACAGTCCACCTGGTGATAAGTGAATGCTGTGGCCCATAGTTATCTCCATTTTGCCCTCGATTATTAATCAAAATGCATGCGTACGTTAACTCACCTGAGGACATAGATTAAATGCCTTATTTCGATTAAAAAGAGTATCCAATTACTTATATAAATATATAAATACATAAAAATCATACACACCAATGAAAAATAAAAGAAAATGTGAAAAATTATGTGACAAGTCATGCTATTGTTATTTTAAACTACACTAACTTAACTATACCTTAACAAATTGCATATACGGTTATAGTGCAAAAGTAAGTATTAACATAGGCAATTTTGGCATGCACGTCAAAATTTATACGTTGTGGACCACAGAACAGAACGGAACGCAGATTCAGCTCGTAAAACTTCCATAACAGTATTTTATTGTGACCTCACGTAGAAAGTTTTGCACTTTACGTGCGCTCTGTGCTTCAACTCGGTAAAGTCCGACACGAGCGTAGTTAACGCTCGACCAACTGTATGAAT